AATCATATCAGTGGAAGGTGACTCTGTTTTCACAACAATGTATAAAGATTTTATTGGGGTATTAACACTGTTGTTGACTTTTAGATTAAATCTTAGTAGTAACAATGATCTATGTGGAACCTGAGTCTGTTTTCCTTGAGAAATCCTTGTGTCCATTTTTTTTCAGGTATTGGTACCTATAAAAAGTGAGAAAGTAATCAGAGGAGGAAGTTGTGGTGTTTTTCTAACATGTCTAAAATTAGGAAGTTGAAAAAGTGTTCCCAATGTCTTATTGTGTTTGTCTTTGGGTTTTCTAATTCTTCTTGCTGTCATAACACTTCTAATGGTTAGATGGGGTTATTTTACAATCTGAGGTAGCTATGCTGCAGTAAAATTTGAAGATTTGGAAATTGTGTGTTCCATCATTTTTGTGGTATTTTAAGTAGTAGACTTTTTCCCAGAAAGGATTTTGAAATCTGAATTGGAGTGAATTTCCAAAGAGTTGGTAATTCTGTCAGAATTGGAAGGCTGAGGATTGTAAATTTTCACTTGTTAAATAGCTCCCTTAACCAATGGCAAAGGAATAGACTGAAAGTTAAAGGCAGTGGTTCGTTGAACTCCATGGGAGACTGCATTGAGGCATGTTTCTAGTCTTACTGAGCTGTCTAGCTGACTCTTTTTTCCCTCTTTTAGCAGTGGAGTGTTTTTCACTGAAGAAAGAAACCTTACACCCTTTGTTCATCAGGAAGTAGGAACAGAAAAGCAATAGCAAAGCTTCCTTACCTGTTGCACATGTCAGGGGACAGTTGTGTGTGGAGAGATATGATGGCTTTATGTGAGTCTTAGTGGCAGTGAAAATATTTTGTTCCATTAGTTCATGTTGGAAATAGGAGCTCCCCTTAAAATACTGGTTGTTTTTTAAACACAATATATTTTAAAATACTGTGTATTTCAGTATGATAACATCAAAATACCATGTAGCAATATTCTCACTGTTGAGTGTTCTGCTGGAAGTTAATGAACATATGACTGGCTTTGAACCTCTTGAAAGGAAGCTGTGCTTGGCTGGTAAGCTGTCCAGTATTTGTCCAAAGGAACCCCCAACAGAGGCAAATTTTCCTTACCCACTTAGCCTGAGGACCTGGAATGTCTCCTGTACTAAATAGGTTGGATTAATGGCAGATATACAATGAAGTTGTTGAAGTGCTATTGCTCGTTCAGTGCAAAGCACTCTCTAGGAAGTCTGCTTGGACTGACAGCCCAGCTTGTTTCCAAGCACTGTTTAGTGGTAGTTTCTCTCAAGTGTGGCACCTATCAGACCAACCCAGACCTCCTTTTTGGTGGTTTGTAAGAAACAGCATAATTAACATCAAAACCAGCATGATAGACTGTGCACACGTGTATGAAGCCATGTATGAGACTCAGCTAATGCTGTCCATGCACAAATGTGATTCCTCACCAGGAAGTCACAGAGCTGTTTGACACCAGATCTCCTTTGTCTGCCTGGGTGTTCTCTCCATATCACCCACGAATTTAACCATTCCCTCAAACACCTATTTGCGACTCCCTGAATATGTCAAGTCATTTCAAAGGATGGCAGAATGCAATTTAAGCATTTCTTTCAAATTCATGAAGGAGACTTTGGGGAAAAATTAATAAAGCTTTTAAATGTGGCACTGGAATCATGTGATACCAGTACTCAGGGCTTCAAGTTGAACGCCTGTAAGGACTGGTGACTGCTGAAAATGTATGGTCTTGTTTAAATTGCACTTTTCACTGCCCAAAGTTTTACTCATGGAACAATAAAACTTGGCACTTTCCAGTAAGGGCATAAAGGCTGAAGTTTTGAAGGCAGATGTATCTATTCTGAGGAGTTTGCTGAATCTGGGTGCCTTTTTTTCCCATAACTGTAGCAAAGGAGCAGCTCTTTCCTTTTGTTAGCACCCACAGCATGTTTGAGTTAGTGAGAGTTTGGAGTACTCTGCACAGTCTCAAAGTGAGGTTCAAAGTGTATTATAGGAGCTGCACAAAGATATGTGAACATATGTGTGTGTGTGTATGTATATATATGATAATAAGAATACCTGTACCTGATGAAAGAATTTTGTAGTAGGTGAGGCTGCAGAAGTGTGCCAGTGAATTGGATGCCAAATGTAGTGCTTATCTAACAGCCTTGTCTTGTTGCTGAATTTGTCTTATGGGAAAACTGCATCCATGTTTGTTCTGCAGGCTTGGAGAAATGGGGAATAATTTTCAATTAATTCCAAAATAAACATTCTGTATACGCATATGGCTTCATCTCGGAGGAAGTGTACTTATTCAAGATAGTATTTAGATAAGTATTTAAGCAAATGTGTAACTGTCAGTGAAGTCATAGAACTTTGAATATGCTTAATTTCCATCTCAGAGCAAGTTGGAGAGGAACATTTACTTGAGTAGGACTCTGCTTTTTTTATCTGATTTTTTTGAACAGTATAGCAGGAAATCTAGTATATTAGTATTGAATAGTTACTGAAGAATACATCAGAAATTGAAATCTAGGTTCAGAGGCATAGCTTGAATTAAACATAAAAGGTGAAGAAGAGTTTCAGTCTTCAGCTAACAGTGCTGTGGAGTTCCTGGTTAAGGAGGAATCTGGAAGATTTAAAAAAAAAAAAAAAGCAGTTGTGTTATTCTTCTTGTTCATTTTTCTTTTGATTTTTTTTGAAAACCTTCAAAGTTAGTTTCCTTTGAAGGAGAGCAATATGAAATATAGTGTGCTTAGGTATTTTTTCTATTAAAAACGTTCCTTAATCATGGTAACATTTCTTTAAAATGTGGTGCATAAATAATAAAATACGTGATGGCACAGCACAAAGATTATCTTGGCATGAGTCTGGGGTGACTGAATCACTTAGAGAGCTTGATACTTGTTAATAATGTGATCATTGCAAAGTGTGCCAATGAAAACTTCATACCTCACCAGTACGTGTGAGTATAAGTTTGTTAGTGTGTTCTGTTTCAGCACATTTTCTAGTACTGGATACTCTGAATTTGTGAGTCTGTGGCTTTTGTGACACAGTGGAAACAAAGTGAGAAAGGATGTGAGACCTTTCCTTCTTGAAACCATTCTTATCCCTACTGACTCTTAGCTGCCTTCTCCTTTCATTTGCCTTGAACTGGTTTTGATGCCCATCCTATCACAAGGATGAACTAACTCACTAAAATGGAAGATCAGTATCCTAGCAAGAAAAATGGGAAAAGTGATTTATTTTTTTTCTTTGTTAATAAATTGAATTCTCCTACCCTGTAATCTTATGAACAAGTCCGCCATCAGTGGCAGCAAGGAGCTGTGTGTACCAGACTCTTTGCTGTCTGCTTTTGGGTGCTTATAGGTGCACACAGCAACTCTGGGGGAAACAGCAGTGGGGTGTAATGTGTTTCTCGTGTGTTTGCTGTTAGGAGTATTGCAAGCTGTACCTCAGCTGAGGTGTATGACCAAGCAAGGCTGTTATCAACCGTGCCCATGTTCACTGCAGTCATCATAAATGCCCACTCCCAAGAGTTGCATCCTGTGGTTAAGCTGTGCAGAGCGATCACAGCTAGCTCAAGTTTGTTCAGAACTTGTAGTCAGTAGCAGATGAGCATGAGGGGCATCACTATGGAGTTCTGAAGGTCTTGAACTCCTGTAGAGTAAGTGAAGATTTGACTTACGTGCTTCTCAGTTTGTCCTGTTGATACAGTCCATAAAGCTCTCAGGCACCATCATGCCTGTTTGCAGCACTGAGCTGGGTGGGCTGGCATGAGCAGGGAGGTATGGTCTTGTAAAGGTCAGGTACTCCATCACACTGCTGGCACCTCATGTCTGCTGCCTGAAGAAGACACAATACCCTGCAGCACCACTGCTGCGGCCACAACTCGTTGGTCTGACACAGCTTGCGTGGGGTCTCACAATGGGAAAAGAAAGGGGAGGGTGTGTCATATCTTACTGCTGAAAGTGTTAGAAAGCAGGAAGAAGCATGATCAGAGGGAGGGACAAGTAGTGGAGGGAATGCCAGAGAAATTCCTCTTCCTTTTAGCAATGTTAATCTGTAAATTTTTTCCAGTAAATTCCAGTGAAACTGCATTCAACCAAGTATTGTGTAGGATTCCTTTCTTGCTTGTCAAATACAGCTGAAGACAGGCCATTAATGTGAAAGAGAGTTTGTTTGGAGTTTGTCTGCTCTCAGTGCAAGTAGAAGAATCATTTTGGTACTTAAAAAAAATTTTTTTTTGAAGTTTATGTCAGTCAGCAAAGTGGACACCAACTGTTATTGCAGAAAGTGCAGCTGCTTAGAGATCCGAAGCATTGCAGGATAACTGTGGCTATAGCTATGTTCTTCTCTCTGTGGTGTTTGATCTGTTTGCTTAATGTTTTCTGTTACTAAAAACCAGTATGCGTTCAAAGGTGCAAGAAATTGTTCATCTCTTGTAGGCATGACTATTGCTCGTGCTGTCAGAGGAGAGCACTGTGGGTGCTATAATTTTGTTTATCAATCTTGTGATCCTGAAAAACACTAAAAAATCCCCTTTTGTAAAGATAGCCCTGTAACATTTAGTGCCTTTGTGCTTCAGATCGGTGGGGGTGTACCCCTACTGCACCTTCCTCCATAGCACTGTGCTTCAGCCAAAGGAAGAAATTGTGTCAATTGTGTGAAAATTACTTGAGAATAGATTTCCTATTTGCCATCAAAATGTTCATGGAATATGAGCAAAAGATGGAGCTCTTCGGAGCAGTAGTTTAATTTAAAGTGCCTGTATGTATCAGCATACCTTTGTTCAGTGTTTCATCTTTTTAACAATATCCCTTTTCCTCCACTTCTTTCTATTGACTCTTTCAGTTTCTGCAGGTAGTTCAAAATGTTCTGTGTTGAATTTGCTGAAGATCAGAATAGAGAGTCATCTCGATGCTATGCCTGGATTATTTCAGTCCTGGGCTTCTCTCTGCCTTCCAGTAGCTACAAAAATTCATTTCCCATCCCCCTCTCCTTGTCTGTTTGCAGGTTATCTTGACGAATCAGATTACCACAGCGCTGAGCAGTGGCCCTGGGGTCCGGGCAGACCTGGTGTCTCCAGCTGATGATTTGTCCCTGTCTGAAGGTAAGAAATCCCTTCTATCAGAACTGAAACTCTACACGGCCACAAATCCACACTGTAACTTGCAGTCTTCTGTTGAAATACAGGGGGCTGAGAGAGTCAGTTTATCAAGTCTAACCTAACACAGTCTTGAAAGAAAATTATTTTCCAGTTTCTCTGAAAATCCATTTATAATTAAAAAGAAAGTATGTGGAGCTGCTAAAAGGATCCGACACTTTCTAAAGGCTGGGAGTGTATTTTTGAGCCATGTCAGTTTCTCAGCATTGTACTGTCACTCACATGCATTTAAAGCATTATTTTTTCAGTCTTCTAAAGCTGCTACAAGGGGAAATTCACATGCTAGTCTGCAAATTTCATCTTATCTAATGGCTATCGTCGATTCCAAGGAGAAACAACTGCTCACAAAGGAAGGAAAAGCAGATCCTCTGTCCCGTTCCTTGAATTACACTTGTTTGGTTTTCAAATACAGTGCCTCAGACTGCACCTCTCTGTTTTGTGAACGTAATATGGGGATTTTTTTGATGCCATATATTACTTCACGTCTTTGTGCTTCTGTTTTCTGTGCAGAATTAGAGAAAAGTACTTTTTTGAGTAATAGTGAGGGCTTAGTGTGCTAAGAAGAAAAGATAATTCTGAATCAAGATTTACAAAGTAATATAATAATTTCAGTTTTCCCCACTTGTAAAGAATAGTCAGAGTACCTTCGTGAGGAGCAGATGCAGAAAAATTTTTTATTTAGTGTTCAGTTCATGCATAGACCCAAATGTATGATGCACAGCAATGCTCATCTTTCTTGCAAAGGCATGATAATTTCATGTAGGCTTTCCAGTTTGCATTACATGGGTATTTCCCCTCTTTGTCTCCTTGCTGCACTTTCTGGTGGTTTTGATCAGCTTCTCTGTGTTCTGGTTTATCACACACAGTTGTCTCAAGCTTGTCTGACTTTACACAAGTACAGCTCAGTGGCAAAAATAACTAAGCAGTGGTTAAAACTGACATTATTTCTGCAACTCATTTCAGTGGACAAGGGAAAGAAGTTAAAGGTAGATTTAAATGGAATGCCAAGGAGTAGCAAGTAACTTCAGTGCAAAGCCGTAACACTGATGTGTTTACTTCATAATTTTGTCAATTGAAGTCTGGCAAAGCATGGCCTATTAAATAATTTTGGACTTGTGCTTGTGGCTTTTATTGGTTCCACCCATTGCCAAAGTATTTCTGAAGTACATGGCTCAAATACTGCTCCCTACCTCTGGCAGAAAGATTTGAAATTTGGTAACTAGATTTGGAAGATAAAGGCATAATTTTTCACCTTATAATTTCCTTCTTGGCACAAAGTTGTTGTGTATTATCTTATTAAATTGTCTTGATCACGGTGCTCGTGCTTCTTGTGCTTTAGAATTGCTATGGATGAGCTTGCTCTGGAAATAAAGGCACAGCTGATTTTGATGTGGGAGTAATGACAAAATATGTTTTCAGTAAAACATATTCTTGTCCTGTGGCTAAAATATTTGAAGTTACTTAGAAAAAACACATGGAATAGTTGAAATGTTTCTGAATTTCCCAACATATATGAAAGATTTGCAGTGCTGTGTACAAGCCGTAGTTCCAGAATATTCCAGAATCAGGGCTACTCTAGAAATGGCCTAATGTTTTTTTCTAGCAGTTACAGGTTTTTAATTAACCTATCCTGTTGTGCCTAAACTACCACCACTGCTTTTCACCTTTTAGCTTAAGAATAAGTTAAACTATATTGGTGCTCTGTATTTTATTCCTTCATTGCTCTAATTCCTTGCTTTTAATTAAGGATCTGAAGTAGAAAAATGTATCAGCATCACACTTGTTGAAAATGGACATGTTTGTTTTGCCACAGGACAAGAACAGTACATACATCAGCAGTGCAGGCTCCTTTGGAAATTCAAGTTTTATCAAGGGATTTAGGGCTGATAAACTCCTTTCCTTCTCTCCCTTCCCTCCTTTCTTGACTAACATTGATATGGTATTTACTTACTGTGTTGTGTAATGGAAGAACACAGCGCATCTCCATGCTACAGGCTTTTCTCTCTGTCTTTCTGGATGGATTTCCGTTTTTCATCACTTTTAACCCCTGCTGTCTATCTGTGAGTAAATGTGGAATTTCAGGCTAATTCAACATCTGATTTCCATGTTTATCATCCTATCAAAAGGCACAGCTGTAGCCAGTGTGTTTTGGTGGGTTCTTTTAACATCACGGTGTTGACCTATCCTGGGAAAGCTCCCCCTTAATGTATTTGGATGTTCGTGCTTGAACAGCCTGAAAGCATCAATGAACTTCTGATAATCTTTTGTACTTTCAGAATCCTAAATTAATTAGTCTTCTAGAGTTGGTATGATAGTAATAATACTTACTACTCTTTTACAGTTGTAGAATTTACTGGAAAGAGTAGTTAGGTGAGTAGCCCCAGTGCACAGAGAGTATATGTTGCAGAGTCAGGGATAAGAGACCAGATTTGTGACTGGGTTCTTACCTCATTGTTCCATGTCACTCATCACCAACTAAAGCTGAATTTGAACCAGTGACCTAGATGTGAAAGGACCCATAACACATTATTAGTCCTGTTAGCAACTCAGACTGCTTGGTTTGTATATGTCTAATATGTTGTTTTAATCCTATCTGAAATCAGAGTCCCTTCACTATAAATGGTTTGCTAAAAGGGTAATCTTTCTTAGATAGAGGTAGAAATGAAAATTTCAAACTAAATGTGCTATTAGAAAGAAGTGAAATGTTATAGTGTCCTTTGTTTTTGCTTCTGATTGTGCTTGAGAATTGCTTGGGTTATGTGTTAGATTAGGCAAGAAACCAAGGAAGCTGTTCATCTGATGTGTGACAGAAAGTTAATCTGATGAACAAGCTGAAAGGACATTGTCAAGCTGTTTCAGGCTCAGAGTTTGTCTTCTGTAAAGTTGTAATCTAGTGCATGAAAACTTGTGTCCTAATGTAAAAAAATAGGTTAGATTTTTATGAGAACATTAATGGATTTATAAAAGCAGTGCTGGCTGTAAAATCCCACCACTTATGTAGCAATATAAGAATTCATGAACTGTTTGTTGGTATTTCTTGTAGGAAATGGTTATGTCCAGCTAAATTCCCAGATCTGTGCATACTTTTGCTTCCAGATAGACAAAAAAAAGGCATAGTTTGCCACAAATAATGTGATGAATACAATACCAAAGTTTCTCTACTTGTAGTCTGAGTCCTTGCATTCATTTGGTGTTTACATACTTGTCAGATTATGAATTGAAGGACTTAGGACTAATAATCTTTTTCTCTAGCTCCAAAATCCTCAGACTTGTGATGCTGTCACTTCTTCCTGAGGAACCAAACTCAGTTTTTACTTGTAACTTCACCATTTTTACATAGCCATGTCTCAAACTGTGTCATCAGAGGGGATGGTCTGGAGGATGATGGTGGACGTTGCTGTTTGCCTTACATTCTTGCTTTGTAGACTAGCCTCTGTTTAGTTCTTCCAGTCAAAGACAATTTGGAGAAGCCTAAAGTTATTTTACATTGCTGGGGTGGTCAGACAAGCCCAGGAGTACCTTAAGAACTAATGCTTTATCATTTAAATGTTAAAAAAATAGGTCTTACCCAATTAAAATAATATCTTATTTTAAAAAAGTTTAAGCTGCCTTAGGCTTCATGAGCAGTAGAAATATTTTGTATGACTGTTAATGAGTTTTTTTAAACAAGTTATCTGTGTCTATGAAGTTCACATTAAATTTTACCTAATATAAAAAGTCTTTAGAAACTAATTCTAAGCCTGTGTGTTTTCACACTAGCTGGACAAGGGAATTTGTGTTTCATTTGTGTGCTGCAAAGAGATAGGATAAGATGACCTACTTGAGGTCCCTTCTAGTCCACCAGTGCCTATGCTATTAATGTATTTGCCAGCTGCAAGCTCTAACTTCCTCTAAAAGACATCAAAGCCAAACTCTATCTTTCGTGGAAAAAATTCAGGGGCGTGTTGGTGTGAACAAGAACAATCTCCTCCTCCCACCCTGCACAAAGTGTCAAGCAAAAAAAAGGAATGCTCTCTTGGTCTTCTTCAGTCTCAGCTAGTACTTTCAAATATTTGTTTGAAAAAGTTGGAATTATTTTGTGTTTAAAATTGTCTCTAAACTTGCACTAGATCTGGGGAGGCCAGTGTTCAGTCTTCTGCTATTTGTGTTCATCAAGTGGTTTGTCATAGCATTGTATATTTTTAGTGCACAGTGTGAGCAATGAGTTTAGGCTGACCTTTTCATCTTTGTTGCTCTGATCTTGAATTCTTTTAAGCTGTTGAGCAGAAGTAGGCTTTTGTGTTACGGAGGCTGGAGAACGCTAAGCTGCCATAATATCTCCCACCCACAGGATTTTCCTACTTTCATTTAGGAGTGGATGGTTTGAAGCTGGAATCTTCAGCTTTTCTTCCTTGCTTTGCCCTTGATCTCTTGACATATTGTGGTGAAATTGTTTTATTCTTCCAGCCTCAGTTTACCTTTTTAAAATTTGGGCCTTTATTTTTATTCTGTGACTTTTTTCCTTAATATTTCAAGTATTATTATTTTCCTTAATATTTCAATATTTCTATGGGGAAAATAATGAATTTACCTTCTTTTCACCTCAGTAAGATCAGTTCTCTAGTTTATTACTTCTCTCCCTTCAAATCTTCTTTTTTCAGTCCTGGTGCCAAATTTAGTGAAAACACTGAAGGAATTATCAAGTGAACTGAGGAGCCCCCAGAGATCAAAGGCTGTTGCTCAGTTTAGATTTGTTTATTTATTGATTTATGTATATACTTAATGCTTAGGGTTGGACTCACAGGTGACTTGATTAAAATAAAAAAGTATATTCGGTGAAGCATAAACATACCTGTTTTGCAGGAACCATGAGTTTATGAATCAAGTTGCTGTTAAACAAATTTCTAAAACACTTCCTCCATGTAGTTTTAAAGCTAATGCAGAATACTTCATGTCCTCGTGAAGTT